ACCTCAGGAGCCAAAAGCGCTCAATCGTAATACCCCAATACCCAGTACCCAATACCCAAAACAGTATCCTCCAAACTAGCAAGAACCTTGAGTCGTTAAGATCGAGTAGGGATGAGCCATGCCGCTCGCTCACCGTGACTTCTCGTCTGTGCCACCCGCTCTCTGCAGATTTCGAATTCGGATTTCCCGGATCTTCCACTATCCCTCTATTCAGGATTCTACCTTGAAATACAGTCGGACCCCTACTGTGATTCAAGGTCTGCTCCTCACTTACAGGGATTTGTTGGGGCGGAAGATCTGGGTTAGGGTTGAGGTGCTTTGTTCATTCAAGGTTCAGGGTTTAGGGATTAGGGTTCAGGGTGTAGCGATTAAGGTAGAAGGTATAGGGCTTAGGGTTCAGGGTGTAGGGATTAAGGTTCAAGGTTTAGGGCTTAGGGTTCAGGGTTTAGGGATTAGGGTTCAGGGTTCAGGGGCTACTGGGTCCTTGATGAATACAATTTTACATGTTGAAACAAAACCCACTAAGGATCAAAAATGCTCATTTTTAACAGAGCCCCAGGCGGGAAACCAGAGTAGGCTTCAGAGTTTAGGGTTCAGGGGATCCCGTCTCGAGATCAGTGAAATCGGAATGGACACCAAAGACAATCCCACATATCCCCTGCATCACCCCTGCATCAGCAGTCCACAACACCAACGGTCCATGTACCCCAACATAAATATGTATATACACATACATCCATCCATCCATACATACATACATACATACCGCAGTCTTTCTGCGCTTGAAAAGCTCGCACTCTGCATTAAACGAGCAAGACGCGGGGGCTTCAAGGGGGCCCCCTTAAAAAAGCTCAACCCCTGCACCCCTAAACTCTAAACCCCCAAACCCCGAAAACCCTAAACCCCAAAACCGCAAAACCCTAAGCCCCTAAACCCCTAAACCCCCAAAGCCCAAATCCCCAAGCAAATCCTGGAAGTCCTCAGGCCTGAAGTCCCGAAAGCAGACTTCCATGGACCCACTCTCTGAGGCTGACGAAACACGGCTTTTCGGAGATCAAGAAGATCGGAGAAGGCCCTGGGACCCCGAACGGCCAATCTTCTGCGCGAGGGCTGTTCCGGGTTTAGGGTATAGGGTTGCTGTTCAAGAGATGTTTGAGCCTTTGGTTCAGGGTGTAGGGGTTTAGGGTTTTTGTTCAAAAAGATTTTTGAACCTGGTTCAATAGATGTTTAGCGAAGAGTTCAAAGTTGTTCCAGACTCTTTCACAGAGTTGATCGGTGTTTATTTGGCTTTGTTAGGGGTTGCATACTCTTGTTAAACGGGTTCTAGGGCTTTGCAGACTTGTTGAAGGTTGTTGCAAGTCCCGAAAGCATCCCGAAACTGGTGTAGAAATCTCAAAAGTGGGAGCCTCAAGCCCAATATGATATGTCAGTAGAACCCCAAACTCAGACCCTAAACCCAAAAACCCTACAGCCTGAGCTTGAAACCCTAAATGCTACACCCAACAAGAGCACGATTAAGAGGCCTCTGGGAACCCCGAGAATCTTCACCAGCTCACATACAACCCTTTAAGACTCGCACGCAGATAAAGCCCTCACAGAAGCTTCTAGTTTAGGGTTTGGGGTTCTGGGCTCTCACCAATATCCTCACACCACCACCTCAGGCTCCTATCAAATCCTTTTAAAGAGGCCCTAGACCCTACCCATCTGTCTGTAGTTCCTTCCTAACCTATGACTACCTTTGATTTCAGCATTTACCCCAAAACCCTCATTCTTAATTATTTTTTAAGCCCTTTTATTATGCTATAGGACATTTTCCAGGTTCCTTCGGCAAGGCGCTTTTGGTGCAGACCGAAGATGGGACGAAGCTCGTTTGTGGCCCTGGCAGCAGGAAGAAGGTGTTCAGGGTTGTAGGGTTCAGGGGGTTCGGGTTTTGGAGTTTCCTGTTGCTTGCTTCAGAGTTTTGGGGTTTAGGTTTGCGGATTTACGGTGTAGGGTAATCCTTGATTGCGCATGTTCATGGGGGTGTAGAGGGGCTTCAGACTGGTTTAGGAGCATGCCACAATACGGATCAGAGCTCGCATCTGTGGGGTCGAGTGCCGATGCTGTTTTGCGGTTTCGGGCTTAGCTTTAATATAAGGCCCCCCAAGACCCGAAAAGGACAACTTGAAGGAGAAGGAAATCCGAAAGTTCAGGGTTATAGGTTGCAGGGTTTCTGGTTTGAGAGATTCGAGGTCCCCCCTAGCTTCCCGATGCATAAACTTATGGTGCTGCGAAATTCCCTGCGCCAATGTGATGTCAGGATTGTCTTGTACTGCTTCGTATACCGCTTCGGGCATTGTGAGGGTTGGTCAGCATGCGGAGGTGCAGTTTGGAGATCCGGGCTTGAAGCGTTGTGCTCATGGATCCCGCGGAGGTGAGCAAGACACCCCTAAACCCTAAACCCCAAACTGCCCTGAGCTCTGAACCCTTACCTGCCCTAGACCCTAAACCCTCCTACACATCCGAGCCGACTTTCCCATCCGAAGTAAGAAGCTGAAGACGAAGCCTCACCACAGCACCTCTAAGCTAGACCTTAATGTAGGGGCCTTAATAATTAGAATAGGGTTTTGGGCTCTTTTACAGTATAACTATAATAAGGAGCCCTAAGAATAACATTGGTTAATTATTCAGGCGTCTACATTATATTCTAAGCCCTACATCTCTCAAGCTTATGCAGAAGCCTGAATGCTTGGCAATACTGCTGAGCGTTCCTATTGTAGTAACTCTACTCGTAGAACGTACCAAAGTGTACCCCAAAACCCCTTTCTAATTAGGGCGGTCTCTACATTACTCCAGGCATACCCTGAATCAGAACCTAAGACCGACAGACCATATCCGCCATATCCGCTGAAAGTAGAAGACGCGAACAGAACACGACCCTTCCGAACTACAGACGGGAACGGCTCACAAGGCATTTATATCCCGGTTCGCGGCAAGCCATATCTGGTTTCTGAGCCTTAACCCCTGAATCCCCCCCGAAGCCCTTAACCCCAAGATAGGGGCCTTAATATTTCGAATAGAGTTTTGGGGCCCATTATAGTATAGTTTTAATAAGGAGCCCCAAAATAGTTCAGGTAATTATTTTGGCTTCTATATTAAGCCCTAAACCCTATCAGCATTTCCGTAATCCTGAGGTAAAGCTGTGGATGTAAGCTCGGCATCCTCCAAGGAGACGCAGGACGGAGGGAGATCCGGAGATAATGGAATTAATATAGAAGCCTGAAGAACTATCCATAAACCCCAAGCCCTTAGAACAGAGTTCCTTGAAGGGTTCTGGAAGAACAGTCACTACACGGGCCTGAAGAAAAGTGTGGCTTCTTGAAACGGGTCTCAAAGGGTTCTATAAGAGTCTAGTGCAGTATAGGGCGTGAATAGACAAGGTTCCATAAGGGTTCAGGATTTAGGGTTTAGGGGTTCCAAGGGTTCATTTCATAAGGGTTCCAGTAAGCCCTGAATCCTAAGCCCTAATTTGTGGCGCTTGCGCCAGGATGCTGTCAAAGAGAGCCGGCTGCTCGCTGTTGGGGTGCTCAGAGCGGTTGGTTCAAAGCGTACTTCAGCCAACCAAAGCCTACTTTTTTTGTAGGGCACCTAACAATCTCATATAAGGATGTATAGTAAGAACCTACGAACAAGTAGGTTATGGTAGTTTGGGGTAGGGTTGACAGGATCAAACCGGCACAGACACCAACACACTTGCTACGCCGCTTCGATGTCTGAACACGTTGTAACAATATCTGATCTCAGTCTCCTATAAGCATGCATGTCATAAACCAGGGAAAGCGAGAGAGGGAATGAGAGAGAGAGAGAGAGAGCGAGATGGCGGGGAGGACCGGGGGGAGAGAGGGGATGTCCTAACTTCAAAGGCCGTTGTCGGTCCTTTGATTCCGGGAATTGCCGCTGCTTTCGGTCCTTTGAAGTCTAGTGCTTTGGTACATGAATTGACTCTCTTGCATGCTTGGTGCCCAGTGCTACTTTCTGGAGGTTCTTTCGATCTGTGTGCTGCCAGGCGTGCGATCAGAAACAGCAGGGGCAGAGGCTTGGGTTATGTCTCGATGTCGCTGGTGCTAGAGAAGCTCGCCCTGACGAAGTTCGAAGCATGATATCCTTCATGCCCCAACGTATCAAGCTATCCTCGGTAGTACCCTGAAACCCTGTTCTACCCATGACGGCGATTCAGGCGCCAGGTTAAGGGTTGTAAGCAACGCCCAAGCCACTAGATGGGGGTTTCCGAAAATAGGGGACCCCCCAAA